TTAATGATATGTGTTACTGTTACTCCACCCCCTGGCTTGGCATGCAAACAAATATCAACTTTGTTTTGAAAGTGTGACCTCTTGTGGCAAAATGTACATTACTTCTACAACTACTACTTTTAGTAATAGCTAAATTAACCGCTCAACTGTGCAAACACACACACACACACCAAAAAAAAACCCACACATTTGATTTGGTGCGCCAGGAGAAGACTAGGGTGTGCCGCTGACAGATTGTGTGTTGCAAAGCCCGGTTACAGCCTGGACACACCAACACATCCAGAAGGTTCTCCACAGGACTCTGACGAGAGCAAATGCTGGAATAGCTTTGCAGGGTTCCAATGGACCTCTGAGATCAAACGAAACAGCAGGAGTGTGAGAGGGAATGAGAGAAGAGGAGGAGGAGGAGGAGAGGGGGGGGGGGTGTAGGGGGATGAGGATGTGATCGTGAAGGACTACGAGCGATACAGGGCTAATGACATTTCTCTGACAGAGGTGCAGAGTGATACTCTGAGTTTCCTCTCTCATCAATTGGCTGCTGGTGGGTGGATCCGGGTCCAAACGCAACGGTTCCCACAATCCAGCTTTCTAAAACATTCCTAATTACTCTTAAGAAGGTAATAGTGTCAAATGAATGACTGCGGGAACAAAGGAGTGTATTGTGCGTGCTTGACAGCGTGTATGCGTGTGAACGTTCGTCTGGTCATCTGTTGCTGTTTTCCTGAATGCAGCATACAGTAGATGATGGGAAATGTGTAGTGTAGTTTTACTTGGCCATCAAAGATCCCTCTTGTTTGTTTAGCGTCCGTCTGTTGCTCTTTCAATTGTTTTTAAGGTTATTTTTCTCCTTTGTAGCCTAGCAGAGTTCACAATGACTGCATTGGCGAGTCGCTTTCTCTCCCAGACATGTCTGAGAGCGGAGGAAAGCCTTCTTATTGGAAAATCTTTCAATAAATCAATGTGACTTTAAACACAGTTCCCCCATGACACCCCTGACCTGATAAGAACTCGGCTAATCTCTTTTGAGGCTGTCAGAGTGCTTTGAACAGAATCTAGTTCGCATCTATCAGTACGGTTATTTGTCAATGACTTATAATCCGAGGTAAATTTCACTGGTTTGATATTAGAAGCGGCCGAAGGTTCTCATGTCTGAAGGCTTGGGAAAAGGGAGAAGCCGAAACACAAAAAAGGAATCTTATGGATCTGCCTGCCAACACCAATGAAGCAGAGAACAGTCAGGAAAAGTGGATAATTGCTGCGATGCTGAACCTTTAGTCGCTTGTTGTTTTAGCATTTTCACTTTTAGTATCATTGTTATTTACTGTATATATGATGTGGCTCTGGAGAAAACAGAACGTGTATTGTTCAAGCAAAGACGGAGAGCAAACTGCACCGAGGCGAGGCCTACTGGGTAATTTATGAAGTCTCAATTAGACAAGCACACAAAGTAATGATTCTCAAAAGCGCTTTGTCCAGCACATGGCGAATTAGATGCTGTCCACGCTTATTAGACCTGCCTCCCAACTTCATAAACAGCATTCTCGGATGAATTATTAATAATGCATTTGAGAGACTTACAGTTCCTCAACCACCGATTAAGCTGGAGATCCAGCTATTTAGGCAGGAATAAAGGAAAAGGAGCCATTCCACCAAACAGGCGCCTTTTTCTTGTTGTAACTTTTCAAAATTTCTTTCTTTAATTGATTTCAAAACAGATTCCAATAGAATGCATTCTCAAATACCCAATTCAATCCATCTTAAGTAACTTATTAAATGTTTTTTTTTTAGATTTATTATTGAAAGATGGATGCTGTTTTTTTTCTTGTTACCAACCCTCATATTATTCTTTGTACAAGTAACAAGTAACTGAAAGTTTTTAGCAAAAGTTTTTAGCAAGGACTTAGCAAATACATGCTAAATAGCCAAAGGCTGCATATGATTATAGAACCAGGAAATTCTGCAAATTCAGTTACACTTTTTACATTAAACGTATTAAATATCTGAAATAGTAACAGGAGAGTATTTCTTTAAATGATACTCCAAAATATCAAATCATCAAATATGTAAATAAGGAACTGAGAGAACTTACCTTTGCTCTTCCCATGGCCTTTTAAAAATCCAAGTGATGGAACTTCCTGCTGAAAAAAGGACTAATGGAAATTTCCCAGTTTTTCAAGAGGGGATGGTTGCAGGAATGACTAAAAAGTAGGTGATATGACTAAAATGTTTTTTTTTTTATATCTAAGAAAGTGTAGATATTTGAAATAATTATTAATTATCAGGGTGTGCGGGTTTTTAAGGGTTTTAAAAAGTGATAAATTAAAATTGCTAAATTTAAGACCATTAAAAGTGTGTTAAAAATTTTGCTTTCTGAATTTTTTTTTTTAGAAACAGGTTTTTTTTTTTTCAGACTTTGAGGTGTGCAATTTTGATTGCAAATCTCGTTTCAGTGGAAGTTCGACATTACAAACACTACACGTGCGGCTGGCTGATGTTTTTGACTTGCTAGATATTCAACGGCCAGTCAAGGAACACGCAAGCTTTCCGAGAACTCAGTGGAAGACTCAGCGCCCAAGGACTGGCTTAGGCCCCTAGTGGGATGGGAGTGAATGCCCTTCGGCCCCATATGCAATCAGAATAAAAATGGAATACGCAGTCGACAAAAGCAATCGATGAAGGAATTGAGGAGCTGTTCAAAGAAATTTCAAATCAAATAATAACAATTATTCACCAGTTTGTGAAGTAAATAAGAAACATTTCAGGTAGTGTGCCACTAACCCTCTTTGCACATATAATGAAGTTATTTTTTTATCACCCTAAATCAACTCTGTTTATATGTGTTTTTATGTGTATAGCATTTTATTTTACAGATTACAAAAGGTCCTGGATTATCATTAGAACCTTAATGTTGTGATGGTTTTTAAAAAAATCTAACAGTAGTAAAAAGGTATTAAAAAGTATTACATTTAACTTAAGAATTGCTGTATATACCCTGTACATGGATTTACATATCAATTCAATAGAAAGGTTCTTTTATTTAATATCTTAGTCACTATATTTTTTAGTGAAGTGTAGCATCAATAGGCCTCAAAATAGCCAGCAATAAATGCTTTTTTTCAGTGTTTTATGTGGATTTTATAAATATTTTAAATATTATAGCTTACATTTGCAATAGGAATAGTATGTAGTACACTTTGCTTAGTAAAAAATGTATTTATGAAGCAGTTTTAATACTTATCTATATACATATAAGGCATATAAATAGCACCCGATCGATGGAATGGCTCAAATGCAGTTGTAGCTGGAAAAAGAGAAGAGTGTGAAGTGGATTGCGAGAAGCTGAAGTACTGCTTTTTCTCTCTCTCGCTGTTGTCTGTAAATAGGCAGTTTTGTGTTTCCATGGATAAATGCTTTCATGTCATCAAACTAATGTTTGGTCTTTACAGAGGATGTTAGATCTTTTGTTGTTTACAGGTTGTGTCAAAAACTAAAAAGCCTTGCCTAAAGTGCTTACACTGCACATAAATAATTTGACATTTCATATTCGAAAAGGCTTCACTTGTGCTTGTAAATAAATACCAGGTAAACAATGGCTGTTTCTGGTGTGCAGAAAATTCTAGATCTCAACAATTTCCTGTTATTTGTTTAATGGTCTTAGGTGCATTTTCACATTCCATTCCCATTAGTGTTTGTCTGTTGGATGTAATGATAGCAGGGTTTTACTTATCATGATAATATCACTTGTTCTCGCCACTCATAATGGCTTCATTAAGTTGACTCTTGTACAAGAGAGAAACTCATAACATTTTAATGAAAACATGAGTGGTCTGTTTAACCCAGTGCTCACACATCTCACTCTCATTTGAGAGGTGTGTAGATACACTTTTTTTTTTTAATCTGGCCGTTTGTTTAACCACCACCAAAGCATGATCACACTAGGCATTAAAAGATATGGAGTGTGCATGGATTCACAAAATGATTTCATAGCAATCTAAAGGATTTGATAAATTATCAGTACTTTCCAGCCTACTGGCAGCTGAGATATGGGCGCTAGTTTCAAAGTATTCTTTATTGGTTTCAAGTTAACCCTTAGAGGTCCCTGCACCCACCGGTACGTGTGCCAATCACACCGGCTGTTTTGAATTAACTAATTTTAAAAATAATGTTTGGGTTTCAAAAATGTTATGTAGCTTTGATATTTTTGCTTTTAAATGAACATTTTGAGTCATGAGTTGTGACATCATTTGCAAGGTAATTCAAACAACCGTCTTTCAGTTTCATTTTACAGACCCCAAATCGGTGCCATCTAGTGGTGAAAAGAAGGGATTACCATTGGAAGTACAATACCTGTGATATGGCTTGTGCTTTTCAAAGGTGTTTGTGTTTTAAGTGGACAAAAAGTTCTTGGAATAGTGTGTAAGATTTAGGAAAGGTTCACTTGTTTTTTTTTTTTATATATATAATTTTCATATTTGCTTGACCATGTCTTTTCTTTTTTTTTCTTTTTTTTTGGGGGGGGGGGGGTAATGTATTGACATTTTGTCTCAACACTTTTGATTTTTGTTATAAAACATAAAAGCTGTTTATTCTTTATTTTTTGCAGTAAAAATGTACAAAATGTACTACTCTGAATTCAGGAATTTTGCGAGATTATTGTGTAATGTGATGAATATTAATTTGTAAAAAAAAAAAGAAGGGGTTGTACTAAAAATAATATCAAGCATTGCCACACAAACAGTTTTGAAGATAATTTATTAGAGCAACGCTCAAAAAGGCCCCAGACGTCTAAGACTTAAAATTGGGTTTGGCAAATCCTCATTGGAATTGCATGATCAGGGCCTACCACACCAACTCAGGCTGCCAGTAGGTAAAGTAGGCAACTATGGAAGCATATTAATGGTGCTTATAATAACTTATAAATAATTTAGTGTACAAAAAAAAAACATCTTGAGCACATTTCTTTAAATCATGGTTTATATATTTACTGTTTATACCCGTGTGTCAGGATGGTCGAGTGGTCTAAGGTGCCAGACTCAAGGGTCCAATCCTTCTCCAATCAAGAGAAACTTGTTTCCAAATTTAGGCATGGGTTCAAATTCCTTTCCTAACAAAGTCCTTTTACCCTTTGACGGACCCCACTTCTCGCCCCATGTATGCTGGTAATAGGCACCAGAAGACTCCCGTAACCCCGAAAGGGAATAAACGGGTTAGAAGATGAATTAATGATTGTTCTTAACCATTCATTCCTAGGATCACATACTCTGCTTTGACGCACACACCATACACTTAACCAATTTCTATGGATTCATGGCACATAAATAGCCGCCTGACCAATTTGTGGTCAAGTAAATACCAATATAATTGACAAAGTTTGGGGTTCACTGTGTGACTTAGAATCTCCATACTTCTCTCCTTGCTCAAAAAAAGGCCACTATTAAGGGAGAAATGCTGCAGAGAGAAATGTTGTATGACAAAAATATAAATATCTTAAGTTTTTGCAGTTTTTCCGATATGAAATACATGGCGCTTTAATTAAAAACACATTGACTCGAAAGCAAAAAACAACCACTTAAAATGCGGAAAAATAGGCTGCAGTTAATTAAAACCATCACTTGCCTCACACACTCATCCACACAAACAGGAAATGTTTCCTTTTTTTAACAGAGGGAGGTCCAGCAATCCCTCAAACTATCATACATCACAATCACCTGAGACCAGCAGCTCTCATCTGTGTGAAGCTGCAAATCTTGTGGCGCTAAATCTCTCCGCGTTTAACACGGCTGTTCTTGAACTCAGCAGTCACCTCTTGGCCCTGCTGAAGAAACATCTGCGTGCTGTTTGGGGCAAAGGGGCTGTTTTGGCTGCAGTTCCTGCACATGTGCAGAAAAATAGAAATGTAAATAAGAGCAGATTCATAAATACTGCTGTCTTAATTGAGACCCAGTAAGAGTAAGTAGCAGATGTTAGAGCAGGAACTGTTGAATCATCAGAGACCAGTGGGGAAGCAGGCAAAGTGAAATAAAAAAAACAACGCTCAGCCAGGTGCTCTTGATTTTCTTGCACACATGCATGGTGGATGTGCGTCAAATTTGGATTAGAAGTCATTTCTTCCTTTTTTTCCACTCAATAAAACAATCTTACAAGTGCATAGAAAAATAGAAGTGACTCCGGAGGTGCCTGGAGTCACAACTGCGAATAAAGCGATGTTGAGACAGAGCTATCAACGTTTAAGCTGCAACACACTCTCGCTCTCTCATCCCCGTCCAAACTCGAAAATGAAACGAGGAAACACAATCCCACTTTCTTCCCCACGTCACAAAAGCCTGTCAGCTTACATTCCCACTTAAAACAACTACATCTCTGGCTCTTTTCTTCTTTTACAAGACTCTTGATCCGAGGAGAGTGCATGCTAGATGTGGGACGGCGCTCCCCCGTGAAACCGTGGTGTGTGGATGTCAGGTTCCCTGTGATAGCTGCTGTGTTGGGACTGTTGGGGAAGCAGAGAGAAGGTGGCACTGACAGGTCCCGCCGAGCTAGATAAAAGCACTTGTTCTGTTTCTACTATCTCTTGCTCGCTCGTTCTCTCTGTTTCGTAGCGTATAAAGTGAGTGACAGCGTAGCACTGAAGGGACCTCGTCTGAAGCTGTCTGACTGACTCAGACACAGCGTTTGCCGGTGTGCTCCCTCAACTGAGCGCTAGGATATTAGTAAGCGAGACCGGTGCTCGCGAATAATAGCTCCGCTGGCTCCAGGGAGTCGCAACTATTTTAGATTAGGACTCACAATTAATACAACACATACAGGAGTGAGTGTGTGTGTGTGTGTAAGTCCTGCTGAACAAGATCCTATAGGAACATCTAGACACTCGATGTTTATGAATGAGGCAGAGTCTTTGTGATGAGCTTTAAGGTGTTTTTTTCCCTCTTTTTATTCTTAGAGCACATAAAATTATTTGTTTGTTTCTGGGTGCTTATTGTGTTTGGCTTCGCCATGTAGGAAGCGGTCTGAACAAAGACACAACTTCACATTCACGTCTGCAGCGTGTCTGGGACGTATGAATTGTAGAATTGAAGAACAGGTTGTCTTTGAAAAGGCGCAAGCGGGGAAGTTAAACAGGAAATTGAATTGAAATGACAGGATATGCTGTACATATTTATATAAGAATAAAAACAGAAGTAAAGCTTTCTGAGAAATGAGGTGTGCATCTGTCCTGACCTAAAAATAGAGCTCAACTCATGAACTAATAAACACTCAAAGAATCCAAGGATAACACGTGATCTTTCTCGATCTGTCTGCAATTACAAACGTTTATCTATTTGACCCCGAAGGTTTTCCTCGAGAAAAATAAATGATTTTTCTTTGTATTTATGAAAAATATAATAAATAGCCACATGCAGAGAATGGTAAGAAAGATTCTGAAACGAATAATGTTCTAGAGTTAAACTTTAAACATGTTTTGATCTTTTTTATTGGCCTCTGTATAATATATAAAATATCAATCGCAATCTCAACCAACTGAGATGACTGTAAAAATAGTACATCTCTACCTGCCATTGCTTCTGAATTTATTATTAATGGCCAAATGGCTGGATGCAGTGATTTGTTTGATTTTTGTATTATTAATATACACTCGCTGGCCACTTTATTAGGTACAGTTTGCTGTACCCCCTTTTGCCTTCAGAACTGCCTTAAGCATTCGTGGCGTATATTTAGAAACATTCCTTATTTGAGTTTTTGGTCATGATCACACAGTGAAAATTCCAGTAGATCCGCAGTTTCTGAAATACCCAGACAAGTCAATCTGGCACCAATTTCAACCATGTCCTGTTTAAAATCACTAAAATTACCCTTCTGCCCGAGCAGCAGCAGATCGTCTTGACCTTGAGTGGTTGCCATTGATTGGATGTTTAGAAATTTGCGTTAAAAATCAGTTGGATGTGTGTACCTAATAAAGTGGCCGGTGAGTGTATATTTTATTGTTTAAACAGTGAGACCCCAAATAACAGACCAATTCAAAAAGTTGTAAACCAAACACAAATAGAACGTTAGGAGTAAAATAAGTATTTGACACGTTCCAAAATTGTGACTAAATACTCTTGTTGGCAGTAACAGAGCATTTTAATACGTTTGTAATATTTCATTCTGGTTTGTAATAACGCAAACATTCAGCTCACTCCACAAAGCAATACAGTATGCTTTTTGGCCATTGTCCGGCTGAAAAAAACACAACTTTTTTATGTTTCTCACTGTTGAAATAAATATACAATTAAATACATGGATCGATAATTAATTTAAAAACAGTAGAGGGTCAAATGCTTCTTTCCCCAAATGACTGCATTCATTTAAACACGTGTGGAAGAGAGAGAAAGAGAGAGAGAGCATGTGAGAAAGTGGATGAGTTTGGCCTATTTAATCAGCCCTGCAAAATAAAAAGCATGATTCATTCTCCGATCGTCCCGATGAACAGAAAATGACCTCATGTCTTCCTGTTGTCAAACAAAAGGATCTTTTTAAAAAGCACAGAAAAAGAGGACGAGCACAAAGCGAAGGACTAAAACAATATAACCCAAATCTCATCAGAGGGATGTGTAGCTCAAGAATTTAAGAGAAACAGACAATGACAACTTTTACCAGCAGGCCTGGCCCGACCTTGTTAGTGGGGCACTCTGGTAATCTGCGCTTAATGATTTTTCTCTTTTTTCCCTCACCCTCCCTTCACCTCTGTCTCATTCTTCCTCTTTTCTCTCTTTTACACCAGACCACAGCTTGAGCCTGAACCGCAGAGTGTCACAGTCATTTAAGACACAGCCCTTGCGTTTTTTCCCTCTGCACATTCCGACGCCATTATGTTACATTGTTGCCGAATAAAGAGGCGTATTATGTTCCAGCAGTAAAGGGCACAAGTGAACTGAGTTTTTATCTGCTGAACGAATCAATCAGGATTATGTCAGTTGAAAAGAATCACAGACAGCGGTCGCCAGTGGACGAGGTCCTTGTGTATGCGTTTCAGAGTGACATGTACATGTATGTACAGGAAATGCTTACTCGTTATTGAAAACTAGTGTCTGTTGAGTGAAGTCTCATTTCTGCTACAACAGCTCTGTTTTATTTTACAGCGTTCTCTCACAGTCGGAGGATTGTGAGGACACTAATTATCATTTCAGCAGAAATGATTAGGAGATCAAATGGAGATCGAATGCCATTTCCTTCCATTAATGCGGGTGGGGGGTGGGGGGCTAGTGCGGCTGTCATGCCATGGCCATCGTCAGGCCTGTGGGAAAAAGACTGAGGGAAGAATGGAGTGAGGCTTAGCCCATGCAGGCGGAGCTTGGCCTGCGGGAATATTCATAACAAGAGCGCTCACAAACAGAGAGATGACCTCTCAAGAGACTAAAAGATTGCCGGATGAAACAGTAAAACGTGGTTGAAAGCTCAAAAAGTGTTTGTTTTAGTTCATAGAAAGTAACTTTTTGATTACGTAGTATGCAGAGGTCATGGCTTGACGGTTGCCATTTCATGATCTGGAAGTGGACCAGAATTTAAAGAACACAATCAATCGATTGCAATGACTATTGTATCTTTAAGCCTTAAAAGTGTTTAAAATGGGGTTTTTTTGCTGTTGTTTTTGTGGTAATGCTTCATATACATTTTTGCTTCGTTTTTACAGATATTTTATTTCACAATAATTCCACAACAAACCTGAAACAGTACAAAAAAATACAATTCTGAGTAGTAAATTGTGTACACTTTTTGCTGCAAAAATCACAAAAATTTAGAACCGTTTTATAACAAAAGAGCAAAGTGTTGAGATTTTCTCAGATTTTAAAAGTAGCATTTACAATTACATTTAACCAGCAAAATTGAATGGTTGCCAAGGTTTTTGTTTTCTATGGAGGAGTAATAAAATTGAAACAAGTTCCTCATAACAATATGAGTAATATAAACCAACTACCTTGTTTTCCGTAGCCGAGTGATATGACAAATTGGTTGTTATGACAAACAGGCTGCTATGGAGGGCACATAATAAAATATCCCATTTGTCATGATAAGTTAAATGTCCCCATGCCTTTATCGTTTACTAAAGGAGATAGAGGTCAGAAAATTAGGTTG